ACGTCAATTATAACTCCATTAAAAAAATGGTTGGCGGGGGCGCCTGGGTGGCTCAGTCGTTAAGTGTCTGCCTTCGGCTCAAGTCATGATCCCAGGGTCCCGGGATCGAGCCCCAAATCAGGCTCCCTGCTCTGCGGAAAGCCTGCTTCTCCCTCTCCACTCCCCCTGCTTGTGTTCCCTCTCTTGCCGTGTCTCTGTCAAGTAAATAAAAATCTTTTTAAAAAAATAAAATAAAAAGGTTGGTACAGGTGAAAGTTAATTAGATCTAAATCAACCTAAGACCAAAATGAGAGTATTAAGCAGAAGAAAAGCTCAGAGACCAAGCCAAAACACATCAGTGGCCTCATACTGGTAAAGAGGAAAACTTGTGGGGCATGAATACTCTTGGACTGGTAACTACTTTTCAATTAACTCATTTAAATTTCAAATGGACATTTATTCAATTGTGTGGCTCCCAAAGTACTAATTTTTCAAATATACCAAAAAGTGATTCCACAAAATAGAACACTAAAAGTACAACAGTTAAATCAATTAATTTAGGGGTGCCTGTGTGGCTCAGTCAGTTAAGCATCTGCCTTTGGCTCAGGTCATGATCCTGGGGGCCTGGGATCACGCTCCGAGTTGGGCTCCCTGCTTAGCTTCTTCCTCTCCCCCTGCCATTCCCCAAGCTTGTGCTCTCTGGCTCTGTCTCTCTCTCTCAAATAGATAGATAAAATCTTTAAAAATAAATAAATTAGGGTGCCTGATGGCTCAGATGGTTAAGCGTCTGCTTTCGGCTCAGGTCATGATCCCAGGGTCCTGGAATCGAGTCCCGCATCGGGCTCCCTGCTTAGCAGGGAGCCCGCTTCTGCCTCTCTCTCTCTCTCTCTCTCTCCCTGTCTCTCATTAATAAATAAATAAAATCTAAAAAAATAAAAAAATAAAAAAATTAATTTAGTTATAGACTAAAATGGATACACACAAAAAAAATAGGAAATCTATCTACTTTCTTTCCATCTCTTTAGTAAAACTCTGACTAATTGAACAAATATTTTGTTCACCCAGCAAATATTTATTGAGCACATGTTAGGAATTGTTCTTACTGGGAATATAGTCATAGTAGTAGGAGGAAACATGTATATATACTCCCTAAGAAGAGGTATGATAGGGCGCCTGGGTGGCTCAGTTGGTTGAGCAACTGCCTTCGGCTCAGGTCATGATCCTGGAGTCCCGGGATCAAGTCCCACATCGGGCTCCCTACTCAGCAGGGAGTCTGCTACTCCCTCTGATCCTCCCCCCTCTCATGTGCGCTCTCTCTCTCTCTCATTCTCTCTCTCAAATAAATAAATAAAATCTTTAAAAAAAAAAAAGAAGAGGTATGACATATATATATGTATGCATTAACACATATATGTATATATGTAATCTTATATATAATTACATATAAGATACACTACATATAAAAATACATTTAATTGTAACATATATATCTGTTCTGTATCTGTGTGTATGTGTGTGTATATATAGCCATATATATAAAATACCCATATATATTTTTTATCTACATATTATCTATATATCTACATATTATCTTAAATATACATATAAATATATATTATATAAATATATATATTAAACATACATATATTTAAGATACTTGCTCTTATGGAGCTCACATTCCACTAAGGAGACACAGACAGTAACTAAATATTCATAATATCAGGTTAATGGCTCCCTAGAGCTTTTAAAATCTCAGATGACAAGGATCCAAAGTCTTCTAAAATCTGGCTCCTGTTTACTTCTCCAACCTTATTGCTCATGTTCTTGTGCTCACTTCACTTACTAACTAAATTAGAGAGCTCACTGTTCTAAACATGGTCCTGTATTTCCTCAATTCCCTACCATTCTCTCCATCAGAAAACTGTCACCACTCATCTACAGAAGTTACTAATCCTGCCCAGTTCAAGAGCCACGGCTTTCTATAAGCAGATCCCTCCCAGCTAAAAGTGATCTCTCTTCTTCCTATGAACCTCTAAAGCGTTAACCATTATGATACTAACTACACTGGGCTGTGTGCTAAAATATCTTTGTCATATTTGCTTTCACACTCATGGTGGGCTTCATGGGTGTGCAACCCAACTTGTGCCTGGTTTAATCTCATTGCCAACTGTCTTGAAATGCTAATAAATTGTGAACAAGGAGTCCTGCATTTTCATTTTGTACTAAACCTTGCAAATTATGTAGTCAGTCCCATTCATGTTAAACATCTCATGTAGACCTCAGTCAAAAAATAAATGATGGGGGGCATCTGACTGGTTCAGTCAGTAGAGCATGTGACTCTTGATCTTGGGGTCATGAGTTTGAGCCCCACGTTGGGGGTAGAGTTTACTCAATTAAAAAAAAGAGTAAAATAAAAATCATGGAAAGCAAGCAGGGAAGGTATTGTAATCTTTTTCTTTTTAAAGAGACTTGGGGCACCTGGGTGGCTCGGTTGGTTAAGTGTCTGACTCTTGATTTTGGCTCAGGTCATGATCTCAGGTCGTGAGATCAAGCCCTGTGTCAGGCTCCCCGCTCAGCATGGAGTCTGCTTGAGATTCTCTCTCTCCCTCTGCCCCTCCCCACCCCCTGATTGCACGCTCTCTCTCTCTGTAAATAAATAAATAAAATCTTTTTTTAAAAAAAGAGAGAGACTTCAATTTCCATAAATTCTGGAACACTGCTAAACAGGGATAAAACTATCTTCTCTGGATTAAAAAGACAAGAAGCCAAGTCAGCTCAGAAATAAACTTTTTTGTGTATATGGTCAATGATCTTCCACAAGGGTATCAGGACCACTCAATGGGGAAAGGACAATCTCATCAAATGGTATTAGGAAAACTGGATATCCACACACAAAAAAGAATGAAGTTGGACCTGTATCTTACACCACATACAAAAATTTATTCTAAATTAAAGATTAAAAAAATTATTCTAAATGGATTAAAGACCCAAATGTAAGACCTAAAAGTATAAAACTCCTAGAAGAAAACAAAGCAGAAAATGTTTTCATGACATTAGACATAGCAATGACTTCTTGGATGTGACACCAAAAGCATAGACAGAAAAGCAAAAACAGACAAATGGGACAAATATCAAACTTAAAATTTTTGAGCAACAAAGAACATAATCAACAGAGTAAAAGGCAACAGAGAATGGGAGAACATACTTGCAAATCATATATCTCATAAGGGGCTAATAATATCCAGAATATATAAAAAATACCTACAGCTCAACAATCAAATATCAAATAACTCTATTAAAAAATGGGAAAAGGACTTGAACAGACATTTCTCCAAAGATGATATACAAATGGCCAATAAAGCATATGAAAAGATGCTCAACATCACTACTCATCAGAGGAATGCAAATCAAACCACAGTGAAATATCACCTCACACTATGATTGGGATGGCTATTATCAAAGCAAAAACACCCAGAAAGGAACCCTAATGCAAGCTGGCACAGCCCCTCTGGAAAACAGTAAGGCGGTTCCTCAAAAAGTTGAAAATAGAGCTACCCTATGACCCAGCAATTGCACTACTGGGTATTTACCCCAAAGATACAAATGTAGTGATCCCAAGGGGCACATGCACCCCAATGTTTATAGCAGCAATGTCCACAATAGCCAAACTTTGGAAAGAGCCTAGATGTCCATTAACAGATGAATGGATAAAGAAGATGTGGTATATATATACAATGGAATATTATGCAGCCATCAAAAAATGAAATCTTGCCATTGCAACAACGTGGATGGAACTACAGGGTATTATGCTAAGTGAAATAAGTCAATCAGAGAAAGACAATTATCATATGATCTCACTGATATGCAGAATTTGAGAAACAAAGCAGAGGATCATAGGGAAGGGAGGGAAAAATGAAACAAGACAAAACCAGAGAGGGAGACAAACTGTAAGACACTCTTAATCTCAGGAAACAAACTGAGGGTTGCTGGAGTGGGGGGGGTGGGGGGGGTGGGAGGGATGGGGTGGCTGGGTGATGGACATTGGGGAGGGCATGTGCTATGGTAAGAGCTGTGAATTGTGTAAGACTGATGAATCACAGACCTGTGCCTCTGAAACAAGTAATACATTATATGTGAATAAATAGAATTCCTTTTCAAAAAACAAACAAACAAAAAACACCCAGAAAGTAACAAGAGCTGGTAAGGATGTGGAGAATTTAAAACCCCTGCTGGTGGGATTATAAAATGGCATAACTGCTGTGGAAAACAGTATGGTGGTTCCTCATGAAATAAAAAAAGACAAAAAACAAAACACACACACGCACACACAAAAAAACCCCTAACATATGATCCTGCAATCTCACTTCTGGGTATATATCCAAAAGAACTGAAAGCAGGGACTTGAAGAGATATTTGCACAACCCATGTTTATAACAGCAACTATTCACAGTATCCAAGAGTTAGAAACAACCTAAATGTCCATCAATAGATGAATGGATAAACAAAATGTGGTATATACATACAAGTAAATATTATTTAGCCTTAAAAAAAATAGAAACCCTGTTACATCCTAGAACATGAATGAACCTTGAGAACATTATGCTAAATGAAATGAGCCAGTCACAAAAAGAAAAATGCTGTATGATTCCAGTTATATAAGGCATCTAAAGTAGTCAGATTTATAGAAACATAAAGAATGGGGTCGGAGAAGGGGGTAAGGGGGAGTTGCTGTCTAATGGTTATAGAGTTTCACATTTATAAGATGAAAATGTTCTGGAGATCTGTTTCACAATAATGTAAATAAACTTACTATTAAAGCATACACTTAAAAATTGTTAAAATGGTAAATTATATGTTATATGTTTTTACCAAACACACACATACACACAGAGAGCCAAGTCAGAAAATTAATTATATTCTTTGTAGCATTACTTTGTGCTAAAACAACCTCTTAGGGAATATATGAACCGTAAGATAAATATTAAAATATAAAAAATTTTATACTCAGAAAACTTTGTTACCTGCAACAAATCCAACTACTAGATCTTTTCCAGTAGTAGAACGCTGACCTTTGACCCAGACTGCTTTGAGACTATTAAAAGTGTAGAAATAGACAAAATTGGAGCAGCAGAGACTGGAGATAACTGGAAACCACCCTCGATATGGTGCCAGGCTAGAGGAAAAACACAATAAGCAATGTAAAGATGCTGGACAAAAGCTAGTGGAAATGGGCAAAGTCCTAGGAAAGGCTGACCATCATTCACATATTCTCAAAGTTCACTCCTACACTACGACATACTCCAAACTGTACATATATCTCACATTCTAAAGGCTGTCCAAACCAAGAAATCTTTCCTACCATTAATGATGCCAAAGAAACAACACACTTGCAATGACTGATTTTACTAGTTTCCTCCCCTTGGTTTCCTTCTGCAAATTACTATGTAAAATTAGAGACAATTTCTTCATGGCTGTTAGTTAATATAGCATCATTCACATTTTATTATAGGGTAACAACACTCGAAAATGAAGTAAATATAGACATAATAAGTGTGAAAAAAAAAAAAAGAAGTGATGGTGGCATGTTATTAGGGCACAGGAACCAGGCTGAAGGGGCTCCCACCTGTGACAGTTTCAACACCAAAATAATATAGTATAGTAATCAATTGTAAACCACTGAAAAACCAGGAATTTCTGAGTCTATACTGCTACTAAATAAAGTTTTTCTTCATAGACTGCTGATAGTTGCGAGAGAGGAAAAATTATTCAGTGGCTAACCTGAATCTGAGAAATCATAATTAACCAATGAAGGGCAGGGGGACAATACGTGACTCCAGATGTCATATCCTAAGGACAAAATATCACCTATGCATTATTCTGGTCAAGAATGCATAGCCTCAGTCTAATCATAAAGAAACATGAGGCAAACTTAAAATGAGAAACATTTTATTTTAAAAAGGGGGGGAGGGGAAAAAGGGGGGGAGGGGAGCTATATTCTTTAAAAATGTCAACATCATAGGGGTAAAAGGCTTTGATGTATGGTGTATAAGTTATTCTTAAATAATTCTGAAAAAAGTCTGTGTGGTGTGTGTGTAATAAAGACAGAAGGGGAAAGGAGAGAGAAAGCGGGGAGAGAACATAAGAACAACTGGGAAAATAAATGGGAAAAAAGTGTTAATAATAGGTGAATCTGGGTAAAGCATATACTGATATTCTTTGTACTGCTTTCAGTTTTGCAACTTTTTGTGAACTTGAAATTATTTCCAAATAAAAAGTCAAAAAAACCCCACATAATCTGAATGCATTTGATAGGAATGAACTAAACAACAGCTTCTTCAGCTCACTGTAAAAAAACCATAAAACATAAAACAAAGCATTGGTTTCATGGAAGACTCTATGATCAAGAATCAAAATGGCCAACTACAAAACTTTAAGAGATGAAAACAATTATGTACTTACAAGTCGGGCAATTACAGACTCACAACTACTGTAAGTCTACGAGAATGGAAAGAGAGTGAGTGCAGGTGTGCTAGAGGCCCAGCAATCTCCTAACGGGCTGCTTTGTCTAACAAAATGGGCAAGGTGGTACTCACAGGCCTTCTTCCTTAATGATCTCGAGGAGCACCATGTGTGTAGTTTTGGACTTTCTTTTCTCATCAACTGTAAGATAAAAGAATAAACGTTTAAACTAAATCCTTTGAGAACTATTATCTTTAGCATCAACAAGTTTCACTGAAATGCCATTTACCTCACCTGAGCAATCTCCCACCCCGTTCTTTGAGCTCCCTAACTTGCCTCAGAACTCAACCAATCCTCCTTGTTCCTGTGTGCTAAATTCCCAACTGAGGATTCCTTGGGTCTCATCTCTTATTCATGAACCTTTAAGCATTTTAATTCAACACCTAATTCCCAAAGCAAAAGATGTGACAGGAATCTTATATTTCATAAGGCTTTGTTTTGTTTTTTTTTTTCAAAGTTACATATTCTCATTTTTATCTTAACATCTTATAAAGTAAAGAGGAAATGAATTACCATCTCCTTATTAGTGGAGAGGCCAGACCAAAAGCTGTGAAGGACACATGTAGTTGGCAGCAGAGCCAGGATTAAAACTCAAGGTTTCAAAGTTTTAGGCTTGTGCTCTATTTCCTAATCTAAAAAATAAAAGGTCTCAAAAGGATGAGAACTGGGGTGCCTGGCTGGTTCAGTTGGTAGAATACGTGACTCCTGATCTCAAGATCATGAGTTTGAGACCCACCTTGGGCCTAGAACTTACTTAAAACTAAAAAAAGGATGAGAACTCTGCTTTTCTTGGCATTCTCACTGAAAATCACAAAACCTCAATTAACCTCACATTTCCTACCCACATTTGGAGAATATTTTGAAAACATAAAAATGTAGAAATGGAACAATTTTCTAAGAATTAAAATTGTTATCTATACGGTTTTCGGGATGGTGAACAGGAAACTCCTACAGAAGGCAATCTGGCCATAGCTATCAAAATTACAAACAGGCTTACCCTTTGATCCAGCAATCTCACTTCTGGGAATTTATCCCATAGAACTTACAGAAACTAAGCAGCATATGAACAAGTCTATTCTACAAAAGAGAAGAGGGGTGCCTGGGTGGTTCAGTCAGTTGGTCATCCAGCTCTTGGTTTTGGCTCAGGTTGTGATCTTAGAGTGGTGGGATCAGGCCCTGCATGGGGATCCACGCTCAGCGTGGAGTTCGCTTGTCCCTCTCCCTCTGCTCCTCCCCCTGATCACACTCTCTGTCTCTCTCTCAAGTAATAAATAAAATTAAAAAAAAAAAAAGAGAGAGAGAGAGAAGAAACCACCCAAGAATCTACAATAGGGGAAGGGGAAACAGGTTCTGGTGCACCTACAGTATGGAACAATTCTACAGCTAGAAGGATGAAGAAGCTCCCAAAGCACTGATTTGGAAGGCATCCAAAATATGCTGTTAAGTGAAAAATGTAAGCTACAGAACAGTGTGACAAATATGCTTTTTGTGGAAGGATGGGAGAAAACTTCTATATTCTTATTTGCTTGTTATTCCATAATGAAACCCTGCAAGACTATTTGAGGGAATAATAAAGATGTTATCTACAGAGGACAGAAAAGGGGAAAAGGGGCAGATAAGAGTAAGATTTTCCACTGTACTGTGCATTGTTTTATATATTTTTGGTTTTGAGTCATATGAAAAAACCTATCACAAAACTCTAAAATTAATTTATAATAATAGCCATGAAGGGTTTTAACATAGGAATTAGTTTATTCAAAGCTAATCTATTCTTATCTCTTCACGGAAGTTCTGGCACAGGTTTATAATTTTAAGTTGAAAAATACTGGGGAAAAAACAGGCAGGAATTATAGAGAGTTGCCTAGTCCTATAATGCAAAAGAGGCAAACTAGGACTACATGCCCAATTTAGCAGTGACTGTGGGTGTTTGGCTCCACCGTGTCTCCTATTCTTTGTTCTCTTTTGAGAAGATCTATCCCCAGCAAAAACTCTCCCCACTGTGCCTTAAAAAAGTCATGTTGTGAGGGCACCTGGCTGGCTTAGTTGGTAGAGCACGCAACTCTTGATCTCGGGTTTGTAAATTCAAGCCCCACATTGTATGTAGAGATTACTTTAAAAAAAAAAAAAAATCAGGGAGCCTGAGTGGCTCAGTCGGTTAAGTGTCTGCCTTGGGCTCGGGTCGTGATCCCAGAGTCCTGGGATCAGCCCTGCATCGGGCGTCTGCTTCTCCCTCTCCCTCTGCCTCTCCTCCTGCTGTGCTTGATCTTTCTCTCTCTCTGTCAAATAAATAAATAAAATCTTTTTTAAAAAGTTATATTGTTTAGGGGCGCCTGGGTGGCTCAGTTGGTTGGGCGACTGCCTTCGGCTCAGGTCATGATCCTGGAGTCCCTGGATCGAGTCCCGCGTCGGGCTCCCTGCTCGGCAGGGAGTCTGCTTCTCCCTCTGACCCTTCCCCCTCTCATGTCTCTCTGTCTCATTCTCTCTCTCAAATAAATAAATAAAATCTTTAAAAAAAAAAAAAAAAAAAAAAAAAAAAGTTATATTGTTTATTAGAAAGAATTGTAATGATTCAAAATTATTAATGCAAACCCACTCAGGTTCTCTCAGAGAGTGGCTGAGACTATAACTCATCCATGAATGCCTCTCTGTTAATTAGGAAACAGCAATGATGACCAGTATTTAAAGTCAGTGGAAACAGACAAGGGTAGATCGCTAACAAAACAGATATCCTTATGTTAACTTAGAACTTATGAGAAAAATATGTTTGCTTCCTGACACCAAATGAAGAGAATATGATGCCTACAAAAGGTACTCACCTTGAAGTCGGAGTCGAGCTGTATCCAAGGGAAAAAATACTGTCATTGCTGTCACACTTCCCTGAAAAGTTTGAAAAGCCTTTAGCAATTACAGTTTCACAAAAACAAAAAGCCACAACTTTTAAGTGAACAAAAGTTTATTATTAACAAGGGGTCAAATCAGATTTTCAGTGAACAGACATATACAATATTGGGATTATTATTGCTCAAGTTCTATAGTTATATACTTAAACAGAAGTATTTGATTTTCCAGAAGAAATCTTTTTCTCATACTGAAAAAGAAAATGAAGTGGGTCCCTGGAGAGGACAAACTTAGGGGTTTGCAACCCAGGACAAATGTAAAAGATAGCAGATAAACGGATGTTTTAGCCTTTTATAGGTCAGTTGCTGCTCCTATGCTCTCTCTGATAACCCCACAAACCAAAATATCCAGTAATCAAACAGGTATATACTTCTACTCTCTTTGCTTAATCAATATATTTACCACAAAGTAAAAGAAGTGTAAAAATCATATTATTCATTGAAATAGTTTTGTTTGCTTGTGTTTTAAGTAAAATAGGGACAATCTGGGCTCAATATTCTATAAATTCATCCAGGGTAACACAATGACAAAAAATATTGGGGACGGAAGCCAACACTAGTCTTTCCATTCATAAAATCCTATGACAGATAGGGGCGCCTGGGGGGCTCGGTTGGTTAAGCATCTGCCTTTGGCTCAGGTCATGATCCCAGGGTCCTGGGATGGAACCCCACATTGAGGGGTGGGGGCAAGGTCCCTGCTCAGTGGGGAGCCTGCTTCCCCACTCTCTTAAATAAATAAATAAATAAATAAATAAATAAATAAATAAATAAATAAATAAAATCTTTTAAAAAAATCCTATGACAGATAAAAACCACAAGCATCTAGTTTGGGATGAAATCTTCCAGTGGGTTTACGGTTCTCAACCCAGATGGAGACCTACTGGTGTATATTCTCAGGCGTAAGATCAAGTTTTAGGCTAATAATCTAATAATAGTTACATATAATATTTTAATCATGATAACAACTGGAAATTAGGTCAACCTTATAGATAAGAAACATTTGCCAGGTCTCTTATTTATTTAAATAGGTCAGCCTGGGGCACCTGGGTGGCTCAGTTGGTTAAGCAACTGCCTTCGGCTCAGGTCATGATCCCGGACTCCTGGGATCGAGTCCCGCATCGGGCTCTCTGCTCAGCGGGGAGCCTGCTTCTCCCTCTGACCCTCTCCCCTCTCATGCTGTTTCTCTGTCTCCCTCTCTTTCTCTCAAATAAATAAATAAAATATTTTTTAAAAAAATAGGTCAGCCTGCTTGACAAGGGAGAACACTGTGTTGTCCTATTAGTATTCGTCAAAACTCAGATGGAATGTTACCATCCCCTGCCCATCGGGGTACATTCCTCTATGTTGTTCATTCCTCTGTGTTCCCACAGCACTTGCTTATGTCTCCTCTACCAGCAAGAATATTTACTGTCTCTTTGCATAACATAGATTCTTTTTTTTTTTAAGATTTTATTTATTTATTTGAGAGAGAGAATGAGAGAGAGCACATGAGAGGGGGGAGGGTCAGAGGGAGAAGCAGACCCCCTGCTGAGCAAGAAGCCCTATATGGGACTCGATCCCGGGACTCCAGGATCATGACCTGAGCCGAAGGCAGTCGCCCAACCAACTGAGCCACCCAGGCGCCCCTGCATAACATAGATTCTTAATGAAATGTTTATTCAAGTTAACCCTTCAGTTATTTATGCTTTTTTTTTTTTTAAAGATTTTATTTTATTTTGCGAGAGAGAGAATGAGAGACAGAGAGCACGAGAGGGAGGAGGGTCAGAGGGAGAAGCAGACTCCCCGCCGAGCAGGGAGCCCAATGTGGGACTCGATCCCGGGACTCCAGGATCATGACCTGAGCCGAAGGCAGTCGCTCAACCAACTGAGCCACCCAGGCGCCCTATTTATGCTTTTTTGATAACTCCAACATAAATGTTCTTTTCTAAGGACTAGGTAATATTTGATGTCTCAAGAAACACTGGACCCACAAAGTCTTATAGTCTACAGATCTATGCTTCCACATCCTTGCTTATGTTACAGGCAATTTCCAAGAAAAAAGGGGACTGGAAAGCTGGAGAATGCTTATTGGGTTATGAAGGCTGTGGCATTTTTTTCCCCATCATTTGTACTACATGTCCATGTGGGGTATTGCATATATAGGGCATCTCCAGGCAGAAAAGTCCTATCTGAAAACTACTTTTTCAAACAAATGGGCCATTTCCATCCCTCTTCCTTGCCACCTTTAAACATACACCCGAAGTTTCCTAAGGTAGAAAAAACTGCCTACCTACATTGAAATCTTCAAGTGAAGTACATAGTATGCCAAGGTAAAAAGAATAGTCAATACAAAGAGTGCGATGGTCTATTACCTCCTCAAGGACTAGCATAAAGTTCAAATCAGTAAAACTAAATAACTTTTTAAAATTTATTAGTACTGGAAAGACTGGATCAAGATGGTAAACTTAAAACCCAGCATTGCCTCCTCCCCATTCCAATCACTATTAATGAAATTAAAGGTTTATATGTAGAAGTATTGTGTAGGGGCACCTGGGTGGCTCAGTCAGTTATGCATCTGACTCTTGGTTTGGGCTCAGGTCAGATCAGGTTTCATGATTTCAGGGTCCTCAGATTGAGCCCTGTCAGGCTCCACATTCAGGGTAGAGTCCGCTTGAGATTCTGTCCCCCTCTTGCTTCCTCCCCGTCCACTCCTCTCCCTGCTCATGTTCTTGCTCTCTCTCTAAATAAATATTTTTTTAAAATATTTTATTTATTTGATAGAGAGAGAGATAGCAAGAGCAGGAACACAAGCAGGGGGAGTGGGAGAGGGAGAAGCAGGCTTCCCGCGGAGCAGGGAGCCCGATGCGGGGCTCGATCCCAGGACCCTGGGATCATGACCTGAGCTGAAGGCAGCCACTTAATGACTGAGCCACCTAGGCGCCCCGTAAATAAATAAAATCTTAAAAAAAAAAAAATTTAAGGGTGAAATGAGGGTTTCCATTTCCAGCAATATAGGGTCCTAGACAACATGCTTCAAAATACCTAGTACTGTTACATAAAATACTAAATAATATATAACAAACACCTTTTAAGTGCTTAGCTGAGCTCACAGGAAAGTAAGGGAAATGCACTGGAGCCAGAAAGAGCAGGAACCCATAGGATTAAGCAGACTCTGGCTTTGGTTGCCTAAGAATTTTTTTGCCAATCTAAGTGATCAAGTGGCTTTATTATTATTATTTTTAAATTGAAGTGGAATTCACAAAACATAAATTAACCATTTAAAAGTATACCATTCGGTGACATTTGACATATTCACAATGTTGTGCAACCACAACCTCTATCAAATTCCAACATGTTTTCACCACCTCAAAAGAAAAGCAGGCACGTTCCACTTTCCCTCCACTCAGCCCTAACAACCACTAATCTGCTTTCTGTCTCTATGGATGTATCTATTCTGAAATTTCATATAAAAACAATCATGCAAAATGTGACCTCTTGTGTGTGGCTTCTGGCTTCTTTCACTTAGCATAATGCTTTCAAGGTTTATCCACCTTAGAGCATATATCAGTACTTCATTCCTTTTTATGGCTGAGTGATATTCGATTGTGTGTATATACTACGTTTTGTTTATCCACTCAAAATGTTTTGGAATGAGACATTATGAATGTACCAAGTACTGCTGAACTGTACACTTTAAAGTTTTGTGGGTTTGTTTGCTTGTTTTTGTTTTTTAGTAAGCTCTACACCCAACATGGGGCTCAAACTCATTTGGATTGAGCCAGCCAGGTGTCCCTGAACTATACGCTTCAAAATGTTTAATTTTATGTTATGTGAATTACACAATTAAAAAAACCCCAAACATTTAATCCTCACAACAACCTGATGAGGTAAGTACTGGTATTTTCTCCATTTTACACATGAGGAAAGATACTAAGAGGTTTTGTAACTTTACTAAAGTTACACTTTGCAAGTGGCAGAATTAGTATTTGAACACTGGCAGCTTGGCTCCAGAGACCACACTCTTAATCACTGTTGTAATTAAAACTTTATTTTTTAATTTTCTTTATTTTTTTAAAAAGATTTTATTTATTTTTTGACACAGAGAGAGACAGTGAGAGAGGGAACACAAGCAGGCGGAGTGGGAGAGGGAGAAGCAGGCTCCCCGCTGAGCAGGGAGCCCGACACGGGCTCGATCCCAGGACCATGGGATCATGACCGGAGCTGAAGGCAGACGCTTAGTGACTGAGCCACGCAGGCGCCCGTAATTAAAACTTTAAAGAGAATTTACTAATATAGTACTAAAAATTACTGAAAAATAAAAAAAGGTACTAATATGGGACCTAGTTTATGTGTCAAATAGTTTTTTGTGTACTAGTCTGGAAACTCAGCATACAGCCTGGCATAGTCTAAGCCCTAAACTTGTTAGTTAATGTATGACCGTATGCACCTACAAATAAACTTAATATCCATGAAAAAATGTATTCAAAATTCTAAAGATAAATTTGGAACATAGCTGTTCTGTACATTGGGAACTTGCTATATTTGTCTCCTCACCAAGCAAACACACAGATGACTGCTTTCCTTTTCATAAGCAGCTGTTACCTGAAGGAAAATATTTATTATATATGCGAGTCTTATGCCAAGCTATAGAAGCACATGACTTTTTAGAATTTGAATTAAATTCCTCTTTCATAAATACTCAGTGTTTTTTTTTTCCTCCAGGACCGTCTGTTCACTTATATAAAATTAGAAGGCACAAAATACCGAGAAGATAACCACAATGTACAATATTGTTGTGCCAGGGAGACATAAAAATAAATCCATTATTTTGAGTCCCACAGAATTCTAACCATCTGAGTGGGAGTTCTACTGCTGACATTAATTACAATTTAAAAGAATCCATTTCCAGAGAAACAACCTTCTGGTGTCTCACCAAAAACAAACATTTTTAGTCACAACTTTCTACCGTCCCCCTCTGGCATTTAAACATTAGGTCTTGGG